TTTCAAACAGAAGGAGGGAAAGGCGGCGGCCCCAAGCGACCCAGGCGTGGGGGTTGCCATAGCCTACATCCCTGGGGACAAGACCGAGGCTCCTCCCCGGCGCCCCCAGCGACCCCGGCTGTGGCTGCCTGGCTCTCCGCTCACCCATCCCCCTGGTCGGTGCGGCGGCGCCCTGGGCCTCAGGTGGGAGGAGAGGGGACCCCAGGTGTGCACCCGCTAGCGGGCTCTGGGCCCCTGACCCACGCCCCGCTGCGATTTTTAGGTACTGGGACCAGGGAGACACCGGCAGCGTTCACCTCTCTGCTCCCTGCGCTCCAGGTGACTCCCAGCTGTTCGCCGCCGCCCCTGGCTTTCGGGGCCAGCCCGGCCTCGTGAAGGTCGCGGGAGGGATGAGCCTGGTGAGACCGTTACCCACCCGCCGCTGAGAGCACCCCGGGGGTACCTGGCAGCGCTGCAGCTCGCTCTCCTTGCTCCGAAAACCAAATTTGGGACGTTTACTCACCTCATAGGATAGGTCAAGCAAACGAGTTTTAAGATTGCTGTTGTCTGGAGGAAATGCAAAATGATTGAGGCCTTTCGAGTGTTAGGAATAATCCCTCTGCAACATGAACTTGAAGTGCCCTTTACATTTTAGCGCCCTTCGAACGGTTGCACGATTTAATTAACGGTTCAAACTTAGGTTTTCTTCTTTAAGTGGCATTACTTTGGCATGAATTTTAAAGGCAAAGATGAGAGATCCTCTTACTTGGGATCCCCCTTAACTTTGAAATCTAAGAGTTCAAGATTTACTGCTGGTAAGATTTTTTTCCACTTTGCCAAATGAAGGAAATTTGTTTTTTTAATATAATTAAGTAATAAGTATTTAATTTTCTGATTTATAGGTGCATTATTTTTCTTTAAAGAGTACTTTAGAGATAAATGTTTTCAACCCTTTATGAGGAGTCTGGTTTTAACAAACTAATATCTAGGAAACATATTTGATTCATCAGTGAACTGTCGAGTCAGTAAAATAAGTCAATGGGTATTTCATGATTTTACATGAATAATTTTAAAATTTTGAGACCAACACCTGGATGGTAGCAGGAAGAAGAAAACGTTGATAACAGAGAAACCTCACTGGAGGCACTTCCAATGTGTAGATGAGCCGGAAAAAAATTACAAGGCTTTTTTTCCCTATGTTTATAAGGAACTAGAGGTAGAGGATATTACCTGCAATCTCCACATTTTCCCTTTCCCCAAAATCTAGCTTGGTGAGACCCCTAGTGGGAAAGTAGCAGAATAGATACATTTGTTTTAACTTTGAAAAGGACTTCTTGACAATTTTACCAACTGTCTGGGACTTGAACCATGGTAGACTACACGAGAGTCTAGTGACATAGCCATTACACCAACTGCTGGTCCCTATCAACCCTTTTTTTAAAAATTGTTTTTATTTTAACTTTATTTATTTATTATTATTGTTATTTTTAATTTGACCAGAGAGAGAGAGAGAGAGGGAAAGTGAGCCTTTAGGTCTGGGACTCGAACCATGGTCGGCCATGTGGGAGTCCAGCACCTTTAACCACCATGCCACCTGCCAGCCCCCTCTGAGGTGTTACATTAATAGATCAGAAGAAGACATAGGGAGTTTATCATAAAAAGATTTATTAAAAACTTACTTTGCCTAGTAAAAATTATCTATGGACCATTATGCCACAAAGAAATAATTTTACCTTGTGCTTAGAGTAGTAATTTGCTTTCATAACAAAGCGCATTCATATATATTTAACTGATGTCATTTAGGTGTAAAAACTATTGGCTCAATACTAAAATATATCTGCCCAGGGTCTTTTTTTTTTTTTTTTTTTTGAGAGATTTTCACTATAGGGCGCGTGCGCTCGCCAGACAGAGAGAGACATAGAGACAGAAAGCAAGAAATCACCCCCCAGGGGGGATGGTCACGCCGCAATCCCTTCTCCTCCATTCTCCTCTCGGGATCTTGGGCACGCAGGCACACACGCCCGGCATGAGTTTTAAGCCACCGGGTCCGGGACACGAACAGCGGTCGACTACGTGGGAGTCCAGCGACATAGCCATTACGCTAACTGCTGGTTCCCCCCAGGGTCTTTTAAGAAAGGAAAAGTTGTGCATTTGGCCTGGAGAAAACTTTGAAGGAATGACAATTTTCTTAGGGTCCTTTGAATAATCTGAGGAAGTATTAAACTCTATAATAACTTCCTTAGCTTCCTTTAAGGGTTATTTATCTATTTATTTTTAAGAGATTTTTGCTATAAGGCTCATGTGCTTTCTGGAGAGACAGAGAGAGACCCTGAGACAGAAAACGAGAAATCACCCTGTAGAGGAGATGGCCATGCCGCAATCACTTCTTCATTCTTCTCTCAGGATTTTGGGCATGCACACACATGCATCTGGCATGAGTTTCAAGCCACTGAGTCCAGGACTTGAGCCACAGCCATATGAGAATCCAGCACCTTAATCAATACGCTACCTGCTGACCCTGCCACAGTCTTTGTAAAGGTCTAAGTCTGGGAACTCAGACCTTGCCAATGGTCATGTTGACTGGTTTGGAACAGGTCTATGTTAGATGTATGAAAAACAGTATCTTGAGGTTTCTCATCCTAACTGCATTTCAATCTACTGGCAGAAATCATTATTTGACACATTTTCCAAATATATGTTTAAAAAGTAGCACATAGGGTTTTTGTTGTCATTTTGCTAGTAGGTGCATGTGCTCACTAGAGAGGAAATGTGAAAAAGCACCTTCCATGGGGAATGGTCATGCCACAATGCCTTCTTTGTTTCCTTTTCCTTTTGGGATTTTAGGCACATACGTACATGTGCCCTGCATGTTTTTCAAGCCGCTGTGTCCAGGACTCAAACTACACAGTTCATGTAGGATCCAGCTACTATAACTACCAGGCCATGGAACCAACCTACATATAGTGTTTTTAATATAACCTCGTTTATATCTGAGAATTTTGAAGCCAATATCCAACTGGCTAAACAGAAATAACAAAAATATGAAATAAGAAAATAATAGAAAATATGAAAGCTAAACTTATATATTTTAGTGGGACCAGCAGATGGCATAATAGTTATTGGATTCCCACATGGCTAACTGTGGTCCTGGACCCAGAGGCTTGAAACTCATGCTGGGTGCATGTGTACATGTACCCAATATCACAAGAGGAGGATGGAGGAAAAGGAATTGCAACATGGCCATCTCCCCTGGGGGGTGACTTCTCACTTTCTGCCCCTCTCTCTGTCTCTCCAGTGAGCACATACGCACTATAGCAAAAATCTCTCTCTAAAAAAAAAAAACCTATATACTTTAGTGCTGTTAAAATCATGAGGTAATAATACAATGATCTAAAAACTATACTGTTAGATTTTCTTCTTTTTTGGGATAGTTTAAGAAAACAGTGTACAGTGCTTAGGCAATGGTTAGTCGAGTAATTTGTGGATATTTATAACCCAAAAGTTTTGGTTTTATGATATCAAGAGTTTGTTTTAAGTGGGATGCATGGCAGTATGATGGGGAATAGATTTTTAAAAGGATTTTAAATTTTAATTTTAATAGTTTTGAATTCTTTATTTAATTTTTATTTGTTATTATTATTTTTTAATTTTACCAGAGAGAGAGAGAGAGAGAAAGAGAAAGTGAGAAAGCAAGCTGCCAGGTCCAGTAATCGAACTGTAGTCAGCCATGTGGTAGCGCCCTTAACCACCATGCCACCTGCTGGCCCCAATTTGATTTATTATTATTATCATTATTATTATCTGTTAAAAATTTTTCTATAAGTCACCTGCACTCACCAGAGAGAGACAGAGAGAAAGAGGGAAAGTGAGAAAGCAAGCCACCAGGTCTGGGACTTGAAACATGATTGAGAGTCCAGCACCTTAACCACCATGCTGCCTGCTGGTCTTGGGGAGTAGATTTAAAAAAAAAAAAAAAAAAAGATTTTTGCTACAGGATGCATGCATTTGCTGGAGAGACAGTGAGACAGAAAGTAAGAAATCATCCCTTTTGGGGATGGCCATGCTGCAATCCCTTTTCCTCCATTTTCCTCTTGGGACTTTGGGCACTCACGCACACGCTCCCAACATGAGTTTTAAATGACTGGATCTGGGACTTGAACCATGGCTGACTACATAGGAGTCTAGCGACTTAACCCTTATACCATCTGCTAGTCCTCCATGGGGAGTAGATTTTCTTTTTAATAGCTTTTAAAATTGCTATTATTATTTTCCCATATGATCTGTATTCATAATAAATAATGTGTTTTGGTGTAGGCCGCCTGACTACTCATTTCAACGGCAGAATAAATTTTTTTTCGCTTTGTAGACACAGACATTTTGAAGATGTCAGAAAGGTCCTCAGGTCAAGTTAGCACCGGAGCAGAAAAGGAGGTTGATTCTCCCATTGTCAACTTCAAGTTCTCCACCAGAGATTTTTGTTCCACATCTTCATTTCAAGATAGTGGCTGTAATGAGTTAAAATCTTGCAGAGTTGGTAACAGAGATAAAGAATTTTTAAGAAAGAAAGACAAAGACCCCACATTAGTCAATGAGCACCCCAAAGTTTCAAGCCTGGGCTCAACACATCCTTTAGAGTCTCTCACTCAAAAAAAGGAATTTGTCCTCTCTAGAAAGGAACAGGATAAAACCCCAGAACTCTGTGAAACTCCTAGAGTCAGTAGAAAAAAAAGTTTACCTCGCAGAAGACTGAATGTATCTTTCTCTCTTCTAAAGAAGGACTTTGAATCACATAGTTTTCTAGAGAGTGGTGTGAGCCAAGTTCTTAACTTACCAAAAAATATTGCAAACAGTGCTCCAGATTTTCCAAGGCAAAATAATTTGAGTTCTTTAGTTCCTAGCACTTTAAAAACAGAAGAAGTGACTTCTAGCAGTCAAAAATTGAGACTACATTTTTCTCAGCAAAAGACTTCCACAATCGATGATTCCAAAGATGACTGTGACCTATTTGAGGTTGAATGTCTATCTCCAATTCAGGGGAATAGTTTTAATGACTCTATCACACATCACTTTAGTGATAGCAGTTTAAGTGTCAATGATGAGAATGTGTATCCGGAACTTCTGGGCTCTTCTGTTAGTGGAACAACTTGTAAGACAGATGAAGACATATTTGTGACCCCAATAAGTAATCTTGTAGCAAGCATTAAATTTAATTCAAGTCAAACACTTTCATCTTCAAGTGAAGCGAAAGGCAGTCTTTCTACACCTGAAGACAGTGGTTTTAACTCACTTAGCTTGGATAAATCAGAAGATTCTCTGTCTGATCAGGAGGGCTCTTTTCACGAACTCCTTCAGAAATGTAAAGGAACTCTCAAAGTTGGGGACACCATAAGACAGTCAAGGCAACTTAGACGGACAAGAAGATTGTCCACCCTTCGGGAACAAGGCTCACAGTCAGAGGGAGAAGAGGAAAAGCAGATCATTCACTCTCACTCTGAAACAAGACCAGCAGATACCCCAGACGTCTCAGAGAGTCCGTCGGGCAGGGATAGTAAGAGCACGGATTTGATTGTAAGCTTTAAGAATTTATCAAACACCCCAGCCTTGCAGTTGGTGCATGAGCTCTTTATGAAAAGCAAAAGAAAAAGATCTCAGCAAAATGGTGCACATGAATTTTTAGAAGAAAGAGATGGAGGGAAGATAGCCGTATTGAAATGTATCCTTGCAGGACTGATTGGCAAGAAAATGGGTATAGAAAAACTGGACATCTTAACGGAATTAAAATATAGGAATTTAAAACATATTCTTGCTATGGTTTTAGATTCTTTGACTGCAGAGAGCCTATGCAGGTAAGAAATAAAAAATTGTTTATGAAATAAAAATTACTTTTATCTTTTTTTTAAGTTTGCAAAAAAAATTTTGTTTTGGAGAGGTTTTTGCTATAGGGCACGTGCACTTGCCAGACAGACAGAAAGAGACAGAGAGGCAGAAAGCAAGAAATCAACCGCCCCCCCCAGGGGGGATGGTTACGCCACAATCGCTTCTCCTCCATTCTCCTCTGGGGATCTTGGGCACGCACGCACAGGTACCTGGCGTGAGTTTTAAGCCGCCAGGTCCAGGACATGAACCGCAGTGGACTACATGGGAGTCCAGTGACATAGCCATTACGCTAACTGCTGGTCCCAAGTTCACGAAATTTTTTTATGAATTGAGTGCTTGTCTTGCTTTTTGTTGTTGTTTTCAGTTTCTTTGATGAGAGCACCCCCAACGAGATCTGATACCTCAATCCACCCCTGCTTTAGGTCAGCCATGAATCATGGGCACATACTTGCCAAGTGTATTCAGGGTGGGCTCTGGACAACCTTATACAGTGTTGTATTTTACCACTGTGCCAGCATCTGGCCCATGTCCTGATTTTTTTGTTTATTTGTTTTATTATGCCTATCTTTGATTGTCTTTATGCTATCAAAGGTGGCTTAAGAGAGTTTACCAATAAAAGAACTTCCCTTGCTAGTTAAGTTCTTTTTACTTAAAAGCCCGCTTTAGAAATAATATAGTCTTTTTATGGCCAGTTTTTGTCACTGCTATTTGGAAAGCTAGTTTCTGAAAGTTGAACTTTAAATTTTCAAGATGGCAAGCTTTATTTCATGGAAGTTGTTTAATGTTCTATTGAACAGTCCACACCCTATTGTTGGATTGCAAATTGCATTAAAGTTATGATACTTGGTCCAAAATAGTTTAAAGCATTCTGATGACTGAGAAGTTTTAACATTCAGAGGATACCACTTAATTGTTTAAGTTCTATATCCAAGAACAATGGTTAGTTTTCATTTTAGGGTTTAGTCTTTCCAGAGACCAAGAACATATGGATTATTTCACTGCAATTACTAACATAGCAGTGAAAGTTTATTTTGGAGAATTAGAAGCAATTAGAAACTGGAGAATTTGAGCTCAGAGATATTCCAGTAGATTGAGCGCTGCCGTATCATTAAAGAAAAATTGTCAGACACTTAGGAGTATCAAGGATGGGAACTAGGGTCACAAAGACTAAGCTGAGACTATGCTCATATTGGCAGTTTGGGAGGTTACAGGACTATCAGAAGACAAGACTATTTGGAATGCGATGGCCAAGAATGAGGGAAGTGGGTTGTTGGTGGGATGATGGTTAGGGGAGAACATGCAGGAAGTTAGTGAAGCTGTGTCTTGACAGGTATCTATCCAGAGTTTGGTTCATGGTCCTTGCTGTTTTTATAGACATTACTTTGTCAAAAGTCTGTCACCTTTTCACAATGCAGTCATTGTAGGCGTTGTAGAGAATCATAGGATTTTCATAGCTGCAAGTCTTCTGAGACAACTATTCAATCACATATTTTGCAGATGAGAACATTGAATCCCAGAAAAGGTAAGTGACTTGTTTACACTAACTCAAGGCGATAGGACTAGATCCAGGTCTACAATTGAGCTCTCTGATTTATACTCCAATATTTTCCCACAAACTCTTATTAAGGTTTAAGGGCTTATAGAAAAGACTTGATTGGGAATATATTTGGTGTATCCTAGGTAGGATAATAAACAGTTTATGAGCCCACATTTGCATGCCTTTTAAATATGTTCAAGTGATAAATCACAGTTTAAAAAAAATAAGGAATGGCTAAAACATGAATTCTACTTTACTTGCTGGAAAATTTGGATACAGACTAGTTAAAAATTGAGTGATACTTTTAGATGTTTACTTGTGTGAATAATGGATACTCAGTCATATTTCAGTAATTACTGCCCTTGCCCATCCCTTCAAACTGACAGTGTTTGTGCTGCAGAACGCATATCTATATAACAGGGCTATTCTTTTTGTTTGTTTTTATTATTATTTATTTAATGCCAGAGAGTACATGCATATGTAAGAGAGAGAAAGCACTGCCTAATGAGGCTTGGTTAGGCTGCAATCCTTTCTTCTCCAGATCTCCATCCTGTCAGGATTCTGGGCATACATGCTCAGTATAGTTTTTCAAGTTGCTAGGGCCGTGTGGGACCCAGCTTCCTCTGCAATGTTTACCTGCTGACCTGTGGGACCAGCCCAGCAATTCTACTCTTGGTAATGTAAGGGATGGTGATCAGATGAAATTGCTGTGGCACATACCAATTATATAGTTCATTTCTTCTTAATGGAAGACTTTCTGCCTATTCCTCTCTGTATCTGTCTCAGACATTGGCTTAGAGAGCAGTGGTGGCAACTGAGGTGGCCCCAGTAGCTGGAAGAATAAAAGTGTGGACAACTCAAGCATTACCTGGGACTCTCCATAATAAGCAACGTTTTTTTCCCCCTCTCCTCTGATTTTATTCTCTCTGATTTGTAAACTAGAGTAATAAAAAGATGATTAATTACCTAATAAATATATATAATTATTATTTGTCAAAAAAGGACAATTAACAGTTGGGCAATTTTTTTTTTCTTTTTAGATTTTGCCATAGAGTACATGTACTTGCCACAGAGAGATGGAAAGGAATCCCTTTCCTTTCACTCTCATGTGCACACACATACCTGGCATGATTTTCAAGACTTTGGGTCTAGGACTTGAACCATGGTCACCCATGTGAGAGTCCAGCACCTTTACCACCATGCCACCTTTTGGCCCCAGAGGATTACTTTTTCTATAACACTATATAGTTGAAGTGGGCCAGAAAATAGCATAGTGGTTATGTCACTGGCCTCCCACATGGCCAACCACGGTTCCAGATCCAGTGACTTGAAACTCACATGGGGCACATGTGTATGCATGCCCAAGATCCAGGGGGAAGAATGGAGAAGGGATTGCAGTGTGGCCATCCCCCTGGGGGGATGATTTGTCAGTTTCCCTCTCACTGTCTCAGTCTCTTTCTCTCTGGTGTGAATGCGCCCTAAGGCAAAAATCTATGCCAAAAATTATAAATATAAATAAATAAGTATATATATATGTATGTGTATATATGTGTATGTGTATGTATATATATGTATGTGTGCATATATGTATATATACATATATACACACATATACACACATATGTGTATATATACACATATATATACACACACACATATATACACACACACACACACACACATATATACACACTATAGTAGAAGTTATTGATAAAATAAGTAATCACTGGGAAAAAAATGTTTTTTTTCTTTAGCTGCTTGATTCTCCTAAATGTTGATTAATAAAATACGAACTTTGGGATGCTACTTATAATGGTATTTATTATTTGGCATTCACTACTTCCAGTGAAGGATTACTTATGCTTATTTAATCAAAATGACAGAGATTTGTTCAGCACTGTAACAGGAGGAATTGATAAAGCCTCTGTGTTTATACAGATGCTAATTCATTGCTAAATAGTGTGTTGCAGTTTTTTTTTTTTTTCACTTGCCAGAGGGCTTATGCGTTTGCCGAAGAAAAAGTGAGAAAGCATCTCCCATGGGGCATGGTATACCACAGTCCCTTCTATTTCTTTCTTCTTTCAGGATTTTGGGCATGCACGCTCATGCACCCAGCATTTCTCAAGCCTCAGTGTCCAGGACTCAGCTGCACAGTTGACTGTGTGGGCTCTAGCTGCCTTAACCACCAGGCCACACCTGGCCTGTGTTCCAAATTTTTAACTTTAATGTCACATTTGATGTTAAATCCTCTAGCTTCCCTCCTAGTAGATTCATACCAGCTTTATATGGCCAATTTATAAAGTAGTAGTCTATCAATATAATGTTAGCATATACTTATTTCTTTAATAGAAATTCTTTCATATGATAAATCACATGAAACAGCAATACTGGCTAAGTCATATATATATGTGTGTGTATACATATACACACATATATGACATATATGTATGTATGTGTGTATATAAATATATATATACACACACGCATATACATATATATACACGACTTGGTCAGCATTGCTGTTTCCTATATTAATATATATATACATATATATTAATAAAATATTACATATTTTACATAAAATATATTACATGTATGTGTGTGTGTATATATATATATATTTTTGGAGAGATTTTCACTGTAGGGCGCGTGTGCTCGCCAGACAGACAGAGAGAGACATAGAGACAGAAAGCAAGAAATCACCCCCCAGGGGGGGATGGGCACGCCGCAATCCCTTCTCCTCCATTCTCCTCTCAGGATCTTGGGCACGCACGCACACGCGCCCGGCGTGAGTTTTAAGCCACCGGGTCCGGGACACGAACTGCGGTCGACTACGTGGGAGTCCAGCAACACAGCCATTACGCTAACTGCTGGTTCCCGTGTGTATATATTTTTTTAAGGGAGATTTTTGCTATAGGGCCTGTGCACTTACCAGAGAGACAGAAAGTGAGAAATCACCGCCTGGGGGGATGGCCATACCATAATCCCTTTTCCTCCATTTTCCTCTTGGGATTTTGGGCACTCATGCACACACATCTGGTGTGAGTTTCAAGCCACCAGGTCTGGGACTCGAACCACTGTTGACCATGTGGGAGTCCAGTGACATAACCATTATGTCCTCTGCTGGTCCCCCAAGTCATATTTTTAATGTAAATTTTTAGGTTTAAATTTACTACCCCAAAAACTTATTAGCAAATTATTTTCATTGGTTAACAGACAAATAATGTTAGTCTTGTGGAATACATATAACATAAGAACTGATCTTTTTGTTATAGTGTTTGGAAAGTAAGCAGAAATTGGCGTGAAATTGTTGTTCAAGATAAAAAAGCAAATAGGAGAAGGAGATTTTATATCACACGACTGAAAGCCGTTTCTCAGGTATTATATATAATACTTTTCTAAAATGGATTTGTAGAAATATCTAATCCATATTGCTCGACAACCCAACTTGGTATACTATATTGTAACCTTTTCTATTTAGCAAACATTCACTTGTAAACTCTTAACTTTTCCCATACTCTATTTCCAACCAATTTATACATGGAATAGACTACCTAACATTTAGAACAATTTAGGGATCTTTTTATTTTATTGCTTATGTGCTGTTAGCAGCATTTGAATACCAATGATACGCTAGATGCTAGTCATAATTAGATACACATATAACATTTTTATTCCCTCCAATCTTTTGACTGGATATTGCAAATTGGTAATTGCCAGTTGGTCAGATCACAACAGTGAGCATTTCTGGTGTGGTCCCTGTTCTCGTGACTCATTCAAGCCAGTGGGGCATTGCAGTCCCTTGCCCAATTCTCCATCCTTTCTGGATTGGGGGCATGCATGCACACATGCTCAGCTGCTTTTCTATTCCCCAGAGCCAGAATTTGAACCATATCAGTCACATGGAATCTGGCTTCCTTAGCCACTAGGCCATGAGGCTGGTCCAAGGTCTTGACATTATAAAGACTGTGTCAAGAATATTATGACTTTTGCACAGCTGTAACGTGTATACCATGATCATGCTTCATTTCCTGTATAACTTTTTTCCAGAGTTAGTAATTGCCTTGTCTTCCTTCCTTTTATCTTTCTTTACCCCCTCTTTCTCCTTCCCTCTTTCTGTCGCTTTTCTTACTGTCTTTCTCTCTTCCCCTCTTCCTTTTCCTGTTCTCTTCCCTTCCCCTTTCCTTTCTTTTTATTTTTTGTTGTTTTTCTTCTTCTTTTTTAATAAAAAATTTGCCAGAGTATACATACATTCAGTGGAAAGAGAGAGAGAGAGAGAGAGAGAGAGAAAGGTGAGAAAGCACCTTCTCCCCCATCCAGATGGGGCATGGTCATGATGCAAATCCCTTCTCTTCCATCTCTCCCACTTTTCAGGATTTTGGACACACATGCACACTCACCCAGCTTGTTTTTCAAACTGCCGGTCCCAGTCTCAAACTGCACAGTTAGCCCTGTGGGATCCAGTCGCCTCAACCACGGCACAACAGGCTAGCCCCTTTCCTTTCTTTTTTCCCTTTCTTTTTGTAAAGAATTCTTTAATTTTATTTATATATTTATTTATTTTAAATTTTGCTATAGGGCACATGCATTCACCAGAGTGAGACAGAGAGAGATAAAGTGAGAAAACAAGCCACCAGGTCCAAAACTTGAACCACAATTGGCCCATGTGGGATTCTAGCACCTCACCTACCATGCTGCCTGTTGGCCCCTCTTTTCTACAGATCCTTGACTTACCCCCCAGTATCCACCAGAACTGAAAATTTCCTCTGTGTAAATTCAAATAAATCAGGTTTTCTGCCTGTTCTTTCTTCAGCAACATCCTTCCCGGGGCCATTTGCCTTCCTATTCCAATGTGGACTAGTTGCTTTCTACCCCAACTCTCCTAATGTATCATTGACAAAAACAGGGGAATTAAAGTTGTTTGATGGCTCTCCTCACACTTTGTGTAGTGTCACTGAAAGTTCCTTTTACATGACAAATGGAAGGCACATATCAGGTGAGCGTATTAGGATCTTGATTTTCTTTGTTTGGAACAATGAGAACGAGCATTAAAATTGGAAGACCACACCATTTCCACTGAATTTTATAATTTGTTTTTCATTGTTCTCTCATATTCATGGAAATGAGCAACCATAGATGACACTACTTGGGATCAGCAGATGACATGATGGTTACGTCACTGGACTCCCACATGGCTGACTGTGGTTTGCATCCCAGACCTGGCAGCTTTTGAATCCCACGCCAGGGATGTGTGGGTGTGTGTGTGTGCCCAAAATCCCAAGAGGAGAATGGAAGAGAAAGGATTGCAGCATGGCCATCCCCCCTGGGGAGTGATTTCTGCTTTCTGTCTCTCTGTCTCTCTCTGTCTCTCTCTTTCTCTCCAGCAAGTTCATGTGCCCTATAGCAAAAATCTCTCTTTAAAAAAAAAAATGACACTACTGTCACACTTTAATGTTTTCTGGTAACATAATGATAAGTATGTTTCAAAACATTTTGACATTCATGAACATGTGCTTCTGTTACCTGCTTTGTCTCTTATTCAGGAATAGCAGGACAGCGTAACCTCCATGAGGACACGAATTTGGCTGCTTTAATCACTTGGCACCTACAATGTGTTCCGTAAACACGTGATCATTAACAATTGTTAAATGTACAGATGTTTTTCTGTGGTTAAAATTTGTTTCAGTGACATATTTTAATGCCTTTATATCTTACATATATCTTACATATCTTTGTCTTTTGTTTTTTGTGGTACACACAAACACTGTGTTTACCAACTGCTTGGAAATCTAGTGGGGTAGTCCTAGAATGCTCCTGAGTCATGTGCTTGTGACCTGGGCTGGAGATCATTTAATCCAATGTAATATGGGCATATTGAGTTCTTAAGTGTTTGACTGTATTCATTCTAATTTCTGAAAACCAACATGTATCCATTACACTTATGTATATATATTTTAAGCAGCTAATCACTTTTTAAGACCAACTAATCTCCTTTTCTATACTTCCCTTACTATAATTTTTCTTTTTCTTCAATGCCACAGAATGTACATGTGAACGCAACAGAGAGTGAGAGTGTGTGAGAAAACATCACCCAATGGGGTATGGGCCTATGTGCATGTTTTTTGAACCACTGGACTCAGGTCTGAATCCCTGATCAACTATGTGGGATCCAGCTTTCTCTGCTCAGTGCTTAACTACTGCACTTTAGGGCTAGCTCTCTTACTATAATTTCTGTGTTTTAGTTCTACCACAGTTATGAACCAATTGTGGCTGAGGGGAGAGTAAACACATTATAATTAGACATGTAAGAAAATTAACTCGTAGTACATTTTGCTTTGATAATTCTTTAAGAATGTCAATTTGTAAAATAAATTTGTTTAAGTTTTTTTGCCATAGGGCACTTGTGCTCACCAGACAAAGACAGTGAGGAGGAAAGTGAGAAATTACTCCCCAGGGGATAGCCATGCTGCAGTCCCTTCTCTCTTTTCCTTCTGGGATTTTGGGCAGTCATATGCATGCACCCGGTGTGATTTTCAAGCCCCAAACAGCAATCAGCCTTGTGGGAGTCCAGCACACTACCTCCTGGCCCTGTCAATATTATTTTTTCAAACTTACCATAGGGGCCAATAGGTGGTATGGTGGTTGGAGTGCTGGACTCCCACATGGACAATCACCACTTAATTCCTGGACCTAGTGACCTGCTTTCTTACTTTCCCTCTTTCTCTCACTCTGGTGAGTGCATGTGCTCTATAGCAAATTTAATAATAATAATAATAATAATAATAATGATTAATAAAATTAAGTAAATACCCCCCCAATTCTATATTTTCTCATTACCAACTTTAACAAAGGCTTTAAGGGATTATTCATTGAAAATATTTTTAAATTTTAAATTATGTTCATTTTTTCTACCTTTATTGAGATAGAATTGATAAAATTGTAAACATTAAAATGTACACTGTGTATTTTTTTTTCCTTATTCATGATGGAGCACATGCGTATGCTTGAGAGAGAGAGAGGGAGAGAAGGAGAGAGACGTGCCCTTCACAGGGGTTTGGTCATTCCCTTCCTCCTGTCTTCCAGCCCATTGGATCTTGGGCACTGCTGTACATACTCGCACGTTTCAGGGTGACTGGGCCAGGAACTCAAACCATAGTCACCATGTGGGATCTAGCCTCTCTTGAGCAGCACATTATCACTGTGATGTTTTGATATATGTATATAATGTGGAAAGAAATATTACTACAGTCAAGTTAGTTAACATATTTCCTGACTGGATATTTGAAAGTGTGGGAATCTAGTTCAGAGAAGAGAGGTTTATATTTTTTTTTCCTTCAAAAATAGCAAAGCTGTTTGAAACTATAAATTGTTTAAACTGTTTAAAACTATAAAAATAAATCAGTACAGGTATTTGTAAAAATCAGCCAAAGAAATTGGGTTTCAGGGCTGGCAGGTGGCATGGTGGTTAAGGGCACTGGACTCCCGCATTGCTGACCACAGTTCAAGTCCTGGACCTGGCGGTTTACTTTCTCACTTTACCTCTCCCTTTCTCTCTCTCTCAGTCTGTCCCAGTCTGGTCAAATTAAAATAAATAAGTAAATAAATAAATAAAGTTAAAATTTTTTCTTAAAAAAAAGAGGAAAAATAAATTGGATTTCATGGTTTTCTGGGTTTCAGGTTCATTGTTCTTCTGACTCGTAGCTAAAGTAAGACACTTTCAAAGAATTCCATGATATCCTGCAACAAACTTTAAAAGAGTCACTGCTTCTTAGACCTTGGCTTAAAATGAACATTACAAACTGAGGACTTTGGGTCACATCCTGTCCATCACCTGTGTTTTTGTTTTTGCTACAGGGTATTCACCATTGAGAGACAGAGAAAAAGAAATCATTCCCCTGGAGGAGATGGCCATGCCGTAGTCGCTCCTTCTTCAGTTTCCTCTTGGGATTTTGGGCATGCGCACATTTGCACCCAGCGTGATTTACAAGTTGCTGGGTCTGGGGCCCGAACCACATAGCTGGGGATGAGAACTACATAGCGTGAGAAAAGGTGTCTCAGCCTCCATGCCATCTGCTGGTCCTATCACCTCTATTTTTTTGTTGTTTTAGGTTTTTGCCATAGGGTACGTGTGCTTGCCAGAGATATAGTGAGAGGGACAGTGAGAAATCACCCACTAGAGGGATGGCTACACCACAGTCCCCTCTCCTCCCTTCTCCTCCTGGGATTTTGGGCATGCATGCACATGAGCCCTACATAAGTCTCAAGCCACTAGCTCTAAGACTCAAACCATGGTTGATCAGCACCTTAACCACCACTCTACCTGCTGCCTCTCACCTCTGTTTTTGTTTGTTTGTTTGTTTGTTTGTTTGTTGAGAGGTTTTTGCTGTAGGGCACATGCACTCGCCAGCCAGACAGACAGAAAGCGAGAAATCACCCGCCGGGGGGATGACCATGCCGCAATCCCTTCTCCTCCATTCTCCTCTCGGGATCTTGGGCACACACGCACACATGCCTGGCGTGAGTTTTAAGCCACCAGGTCTGGGATGCGAACTGCAGTCGACTACATGGGAGTCCAGCGACATAGCCATTACGCTAACTGCTGGTCCCCCTCACCTCTGTTTTTAGAGTAAGTTTTATTATAAAACAGCACCACACTTTCATTTGGGTATTATCTATAGTTGTTTTCTTTACAGAGTTAAGTAGATGCCACTGTATGGCCTGTAAAATCTATACTATCTGGCCCTATTTAGGAAAAGTTTCCCAAACCAAGCCTTAAAATAAATGGAAAAAATAAATAACTATGTGAACTTAAAACTAGAATTTCTCGTTTTAATTTTTTTCTTTTTATATTCCCTTGACTTTCAAATATTAGATAAGAAAGTTTTTCGTTTTTTTATAAAAATGAATGATCTAGGGAGAAGATTCTACTGATACAAAAACCACTTCCAAATATTTAAATTCATGTACCTCAGAAGTCTCCTGGAACTTTCTTGATATTCCAGTATTGCCTCCTCTTGTCTTTGCCACAGGAAGCTATATTTAGTGTAGAGGATGCTGCCACTCGGCTCCATCTTTCAACTCGCTCAGCTCTAAGATCCGTGCAGTCACAGGCTAGGACACCGGGTTCTCAGAAAGAACAAGTAGCAACATTATCTCCTTGGGGAGAAATTTTGACACCTATAGCAAGCTCTTCTGTTACTCGCTCAAGCAGTAAACAGGAAGAATATGTTAAGGTGAGTATTATGTTATTAGAAATAAATACAGAGTTTGAAATAAAGTGATTCTCTATTTGAAACTGGAAGATTGAGTGTGTGTGCTTTCACTGCAGGTTGCCAAAACACTTTTTATCGATGAAGCATTAAAACCTTGCCCACGATGCCAGTCCCCTGCTAAGTATCAACCTTATAAGAAAAGGGGATTGTGTAGCCGCACAGCCTGTGGTTTTGACTTTTGTGTGTTGTGTCTTTGTGCTTATCATGGGTCTGAAGAATGTAGTCAAGGAACGGCAAAGCCAAGAAATAGGAAAGATGCCCTCCCAGGAAGTGTCCAGAGTAAGCGGAATTTAAAACGCCTTTAAAGAGACTCCATATGAATAAGCACTTCCCCTATGCAATGTTTTATTTGGCTGACTCACAATTATGAATATTTTGAATTCATGCAAATCTTCCCATTAATGACAGATGATGGTTTATTTCCTAATTCCTATGTATTATAATCCATGTCATTGTATTCTTCTGTTCGAGAAGTGAGTTTTAAAAACATTTTATTTTACTATGTCACTTTTACCCATTTTAATGATTTGGTGTTTTAAATAAAGAATTTTCAATGTTGTTACTTCTATGTATTTTAATGTTTCATGTAACATTTTAAGTTTGTGCATCTCATCACTATGTGTTGAAATGTTCTTCAATCATTTTTTAAAAATAGTTTTCTAAATAATAGCAAAATTTTTGAATTTGAGACAGATGGCCTTATAGATTTAGAAGATGAGCAGTTGACTGAAATATAAATAAAAAGTTTTCAGAAGTTCTGTTGAAATTTCTCTATAATTTTAGTCTTTCTCTTATTTGACATATTTTTGTAGACTTCTGGTTAAGTAAAGTTTACTTAATATTGATAACTAAGAAGACATAAAAAGTAAATTATGGGGACCAGCAGTTAGCATAATGGCTATGTCACTGGACTCCCATGTAGTTGACCACGGTTCGAGGTCCAGGCCCGGTGGCTTAAACTCATGTGGGGCGTGTGTGCATGTTTGCCCAAGATCCTGAGAGGAGAATGGAGGAGAAGGGATTGTGGTATAGCCATCCCCCCTGAAGTGTGATTTCTTGCTTTCTGTCTCTCTGTCTCTCTCCGTTTTTCTGGTGAGTGCACATGACCTATCGCAAAAACAAAAAACAAAACAAAAAAAAAACACCTCTCCAAAAAAAAGTAAATTATGGAAAGTACGTGGTTATTCAGAATGGCGGTCTTAGTTAATAAATCCATGTAAGTCACACATTTCAAAATAAGTACTTGTTTTGAAGTTTTGCTAGAGATGCATGTACTCTGTAGACAGAGATAGAGAGATGGAGAGAGAAAGCACCTCCCAAGGGGGCATGGTCATGTCTCAATTCCTTCTCCATTTTCCCATCTCGTTAGGATTTTGGACATGCACTCTACATGCTTTCAAATGTCTAGGGCCAGGATTCGAACTGTGAGATTAGCCACATGAGATCTAATACTAGGCCACAGAGCTGGCTCTAAAATAAGTACTTTTTTTTTTCCTGAGAGGTTTTTGTTCTAGGGCACATGTGTTCACTGGAGAGAGAAGAGAGAGAGAAAGTGAGAAATTATCCCCTGGTGCAATGGCCATGCTACAATCCCTTCTTCTCCATTCTCCTCTTGGGATTTTGGGAACGCATGCATACATGCCTGGTGTGAGTTTTAAGCCTCTCGGTCTGGGACTTGAACCATAGTAAGCCATTGGAGAGTCCAGCAACATAACCAATGTGTCACCTGCTGGCCCTCAAATAAGTACTTTTAAAACTCTAGAACTATAGTCTCAGATTTCATTAATAAAACCTGAGTATTAATATTTTGATATTTGGGCTGCTTGGAAAAGACAATTTCTTAAACTTATATATACATATATATATATTTTTTTTTTTTGAGAGGTTTTTGCTATAGGGCATGTGCACTTGGCAGAAAGACAGAGAGATAGAGGGAGAGAGACAAAAAGTGAGAAATCTCCCCCAGGGGGGATGGCCATGCTGGAATCCCTTTTTCTCCATTCTCCTCTCAGGATCTTGGGCACGCACACACACGCATCCAACGTGAGTTTAAGTCACTGGGTTCGGGACTTGAACCACAGTCAACTACATGGGAGTCCAGCGACATAGGTGTTACGCCAACTGCTGGTCCCAAGTTCTTAAAATAATATTTAACAAGTTCTACAAATATACTGTGCCTCTTCCCAAAAATGATTTGAAATAACATGATCCATTTATAGAACAATAGCTAAATATAATAATAATAATAATAACAATAATAAGGTCTATTGTTGAACAGATTACTAAAACCAAGGGAAAACTTGAAGACATTTTCATAATTTTTTGTTTTCATTTAGGTAACTTAAATGTATATACATGTGTATATTCACACTGTACACACAGATTTAAATTATTTTAATAAATCAATTTAAAGTATGAATTAGATAAATGTATATTTGTAAAAATCTGTCTTAAATTTTGACTTGTTGCTTAACTTGCTATAAAATTTTTATAGCTGCTAAGTATTACATTTTATTTATATCCTTTCTAGTTCCACAAGGGATTTTTGAAAGCTAAATATAAATATGAGTGCTGGTTATTTTTACTCAAAGTTACATAATCTCTGAATTTTACATATTTTCTGATTTATTTGGTTCTTACCAAGTTTCGTTCTTCATGTCTAATTAATTTCCTGTGACATCTTCCATATCAGGAGTAATTTATGTAGAATGTTGTTCACTCGAGGAATTACTTCTTTTCTACATCAGAAAAGTTTCTTTGTTTTTAGGAAACTTATTCCAGTCTCAGTTCTCTTCGTTTACAGCCAACTCTTTGGTGTTTTAATCCAAACTACTTATCCTTGACCTCTCTTTCTGTGGTTCAGATCAAACATGAACATTACTGCTATTTTATGCTCTTGATTTCTGCCTGACCTAAATGTTATTCCTGCAGTGACTTTTGGGATCTTAAACATCACAGATCCAGGTCTTTGATACATTTTCAAAAAATGCATTATTGCCTGTACAAAATCATTTTAAATGTCCACATTTCCCAGTACCTTATGATCTGTCTCATTTATTATTATGAAATCATGGAAAAAAGCATTTCTTTGACCATTTTACAGTTGAAATTGTTACATTGTAATGAAGGGGTCCGGAATCCTGTTTCTAGTTTATTATAAGAGACTTTGTTATTGTATATTCTGGTCACTTCCCTCTCAGTGCCATCGCATTTGTCATCTTCTGGTTATCTATCCCATTAGAATATGACATTTTATTTCCCTTTGATGGTGAAAAAGTAATTTTGTCATTTTTAGTTTTAGAATTTAACAATAAACACATGGTCCTCTCCATTATAGGTAATATTAAACAATGGAAATTGAAATTTACCTTTCTGCTTTTACTTGGGACTTGAATATTATGAACAACTATATATGAATAAAATAGTGTATGGAATTAATACCACATATTTAAAAACATGCTGAAGAAAAAAAGAATAGGAATTTAAAAGGTGTTTCTTTTTGGTAGGTTTAATATTTGTGATGGGGTCAAAAAGTTGATAGGTTAACTGGAAGAAAGTAATTCAGAATTTATGTACAACTTTATTGAACAGAGAAAAACAACACTATCTTAATTATTGCATATTATCATAGCTGACTGGAATACCCCACCTGTACACTTCTGCAGCACCTTGTGCATCCTCTGTCGGGTACTTAGTTCACTTTATAGACACTGCTTGCTAATGTTCTTGCCCTGCAAGCTCTGGGAAGTCCGAGACTGTTTTATGTTTGATTTAAATATCATTATACTATTGGCACCTACCACAGTACCAGGCAGAAGTAAAGTAAAAAGTGTTTAAAAATAATTTCTCGAGGGACCAGTAGATGGCGTAATGGTTATGTAGCTGGACTCTGACATGGTCCAAGTGCAGTTTGAGTCCTGGATCCGGCGGCTTAAACTCACACCAGGCGTGTGTGCATATGTGCCCAAAATCCAAAGAGGAGAATGGAGGGGAAGGGATTGTGGTGTGGCCATCTGCCCTAGGGGGTGATTTCTCGTTCTGTGTCTCTATCTCTCCAGTGAGTGCATGTACCCTATAACGAAAATCTCTCCAAAAAATTTTTATTTCTTGAATAAATAGTTTTAGTGCTACTAGTAATTTTCATCTAAGTAGCCATTATAAAATTATAACCGAACAATATTATCCTAATAATTTAATTATTTAATGTTTGATTTCACTGGTTAGTGCTTCAATACACACAAAGTAGAAACTAGCTGCTTTCTTAAATTCTATGTAAACAGATTGTCAGTGACTGTGTTTGGTCTCCTCATTCTTTTGGCTGATTTTTCTTAGAACCAGTTAGGAACTCTAGAAGTAAAAAAGCATGGGTTGTATTCTGAACTACCTTCATACAGGTCATTTATGACTTTGAGCCTATATGATGCATTGTGAAATATCACTGGAAACTCTGGTGTATTAGTTGGTTATTGCACATTTCACTCAAAGTGAGTAGAAGAAAATTAAGTAGAATTTGTGGGGACAGAATATATTACCTTGATATATCATTAGTGTCACACTGGATCAGAAACTATGAAGTCAGCTTCTAACCTGCTTACAAAAAATATCTGGCTAAATAATTTTTTTTTTTTTTGGAGAGATTTTCACTGTAGGGCGCGTGCGCTCGCCAGACAGACAGAGAGAGACATAGAGACAGAAAGCGAGAAATCACCCCCCAGGGGGGATGGTCACGCCGCAATCCCTTCTCCTCCATTCTCCTCTCGGGATCTTGGGCACGCACGCACACGCGCCCGGCGTGAGTTTTAAGCCACCGGGTCCGGGACACGAACCGCGGTCGACTACGTGGGAGTCCAGCGACATAGCCATTACGCTAACTGCTGGTTCCCTGGCTAAATAATTTTTAACGTGCCATTAATCACTATGTATAAGGCACTGTGCTAAGACATGTGTTAACTCATGTACTCCTAACAGTGATCCTATAAGAAAATTATTGTCTGGAAACCACAAGAGAGGTGCAATAATTTGTCTAAGATCACATAGGCAGCAAGTAGGGGCCAAGATTCCAGCAGAGTCTGCCATTAGTACACAAGAGAACTGTGCAGCAGAGTTCATGCTGATAAACTCCATATACGTAAAATTACGGTCTTAAATGGAAGGCTGTTTTTGCTATTTAAGAAAAATTTATTAACAGGGACCAGCAGATGGCGAAATGGTTACATCGCTGGACTCCCACATTGCGGACCATGGTTTGAGTCCCAGATCCGGCGGCTTAAACTCGTGCCGGGTGCATGTGCCCAATATCCTGAGAGAACAGAGAAGGGATTGCAATGTGCACCCGCCTCTTGGGGTGATT